CATGTCACATGATTTATAGATATAACGATAATCTCCAAAGTCTAAATCATATATTCATGTGCTGGTTGAATTTTGGAATATAAGTTGTCAAGTAGGCGAGATCTTACAGATTGTCTAAAAAATATGAGTAGCTCCATGAGCGAGGGCTTACGAACTATCTAACAAATATGCATTGATCCTAAATTAGTGAGGCCTTATGAATTATCTCGAGAATATAAGCCGCTACAATAAATGAAGACTTCGAACTATCTCGAAAATATCTGTACAAACTTGAATAAGTGAGGGCTTTTAAATTGCCTCGAAAGATAGACATTGCATATAATTTATCAAAATTTCGATAGCATCTTCTCTATAATATGGACTAAACAAACTTGTAATATAATATAATATTTCCACTGCACATATACAAATAAATTGGGGCCCATTTACCTCTTCCACATACTCATGACGATAAAAGTGAATAATTACAAATCAAGTTTCTCCAAATAGAATATGCAGATAACCTATCATGTATCAGAGTAGATCATATGCTTGCATGGCCTAGAGTAACAATATTGCTAATATGAAGCAAGCAACATGATATCGATAATAAAATGATAGTGCAGGTAATGTGGCATACATACTGTCTGTAATAAAAATAGTGTCATGACATACTAACAGTGATATGTTATACATAATTTGCAACAATAATGTAATGATACTAAAATATTGACTGGCAATCATTTGCACCCTAACATGATGTTTCGATGTGCACGTGATGCTTGTGTGGAAGGCATACGGTCGGGATTTGTCGGGCATGTGTCCGTGCAGATTTTAGGGTCAATGGTACTAATGACATGCTTTCTATAGTAAAGCTAAATTAAATTAGTCTCACAAGACTGTGGGAAAAAAAATGTAATAAAATTTGTCGATTATATTTTTCACGAGTGTTTAAAACCTGCAATTCAAACGCGTTCTAAGTTCATAATTTTACAAGATTTGTTGTACAAAATAAAATCTATAAAGTAACCATGTCTAATAAACTCAAGAACCAATCAACACTCAGATTTCACTCAGTGGCCTTTGCGGCTTCTCCATAGGCCTTCTTACTGGACAGTTAATAATTAGGAAGAGGAATGGCAGAACAAAGTTAAGATATTAATTGACAAAAATAACGTTGCCGTGTAGTTGATTATAACACTATTTGAAAAAAGAAGGAAAAATTTAATTGTAGCAATCTAAAAAAATAAATAAATCGATCTTAGTTAATTGAATATATTTCGCACTTACTAAACATAATTTATTTATTTTAATTGTGATTCAAAATTTCGTCTACTGATCAACGTTACGATAAGAGAGAATGTTTAATTGAGCTTAAATAAATTTTTTTTTTTTAAGTAAAACGAGTCAATTTGTCAATCTCTGATAAAAATAATTAACATAGTTTGACATTAGTTTTCACCTCATTGTCAAAATAAATAACTTTTTTTTAAATTATTATTAATATGTAAGATAAAAATAATTTTCTCCAAGCCTCTAGAAATCACCTGAAAATAAATGAATTGAAAGTCATAAATGGTAGAATCGGTTTTGCTACGGGTACATCACCCCTTACACAATGGGTGACATAATGTCCAAGTGGCAGGCCCTCATTGGATGGGCGCCTCGGCCCACATGTGGGGCCTCAGCACCCCTCCAATGAGGAGGTGCCACTTGGACATTATGTCACCCCTTGTGTAAGGGGTGATGTACAAGTAGCATTATTCATGGTCGAATATGTTCACAATGATTCCCCCCATGAAAGAGAGGAATTGAAATAGCATGCAATCAACTTAATGAGTTTGTTTCTCTTTGTTAATCTCACTTATACGTTATCTCAATTTTGTTGATTTTATGCAGCTTATAATCTCGAAAAAGTTTTGTGAGACAAGAGCTGACATACCAAACATTCTTCAAAAGTAAATTTTATTATTAAACTTAAGATAATACCTCGATAAATTTTGTGTGTGTCAACCCCTTTTGATCTATTCCAATTTATATAATCTAATATACTAATACAATGATTGATTTTTTTTTTTTTCAAAATACATTTTTCTGTCTTATTTTCAACTGTACATTCTTTAATAAAATAATATTTAATGCAATTTTAAAACTTTTCCTTCATTTTTAACTACACATTCTCCATCTATTTATTGTTTTAAAATTCAATCTACAAAAAAAAAAAAAAAAAAGGGTTCAAACATGCCCTAAATACGCCATAATTTCATTCATTTTTTGCGCATGGAGACGTGTTTTTATACCATTAAGAAGTACACACATTAGAAAGTAAGTACCTTTAGCTACAAGATTGCTCTTCCATCATGAAATTTGGAACGTGGAATTATTACATCTTTTTACGTGTGTTGAAGAGGAGACCAAATACGATTATTTACCATACCAAACTCAATTCACTTGCCTTCGTGTAATGATGGGAAATATAATTATTGGGACTCAACTACTTCTTGTCATTGCTTAGGCAGACACTTCTTCCATTCTACTTCGAAATGAATTGGCTTTTTCATCAAAAATTTCAAACATCTCAATTAATTTTTTATTTTATTTTATTTTATTTTATTTATGTTAGGCCAGTTATGGGTCCACCATTTTATGGATAAATTATGGGGAAATTTTTATGCGAAAATTACACAAATGGTCCATCCACTCACAGTGGTGAATCCAGGAATACATCTAAGCTAGGGACAGCTAATAGGATTTTTTTTTTCCCCCAGTGGAGCCAGTCCAGGCTGTTGTCATGGCTCGTCGGGTGCTAACTCCATCACTGTCCATGGATCTTGTCATGAAAAACTAAGTGTATTCGTAATAACTTATTATAAAGGAAAGTAAGGTATATCTCCAATCTCTGCCTATGGTTTGCCCAATGCTCACCACCAATTAATTTTCGAATTTTCACTATCTTGCTCCACCTCTCTTCTCCACTCAGGTCATCAACATCACTGTTCTCGACCCATGTTTTGAGCCAGTTAGCCAAGTCCTTAGTGATCTTACACAAAAAATCGGTTACGAACGAAAAAAATGAGATGTAGTCATTTCTTTACACGCTTGTTACTTTGATATTAATTCTTTCAGTTACTACTGATACAGTAGAAGGAGTACTGCAATAAAGATTATCATGAATTGATACGCAATCAAACGAGAGATCAACGGTTGAATCATAATCTTGTGGTGTATATCGAGGATGATATTTTTGAAATATCGATAACGATGTAGTTAATTGTAGCAATATATTGACTATTTTCAATAATATTGTGTTGTTTTAAAAAAAAAATAAAAAACTTATTTTTAACCCTATCTTCACAAGACATGATGCATAATTCCATGCATTGTTGGCGCATGGAGTCTGTGTTTTAACTTTTTATGAACATTGAAATATGGAATTATAAGTGCTCTTTACGTGTACTGAAAAGGATCCCAAAAATTATTCTCTTCCACCAAACTCATTGCCTCTTGTGGATTTCGGTAAGAGAATGTTGGCTTTTGGGAGAGTACAATTATTTGAGCTTTATTACAGTAACTATCTCTTGCCATTTTCCAGCAGACACATCTTCCAATCTTCTTTCGAAGGCATTAATTTTCAGGCTTTTTGGTAAAAAATTACCCACTAACATATCATTCAAAAGTTTCATGTTAGGGCCCACCATTTCATCTTTCGTATTCGATTAAAAAACATCCAAAGAAAGCTCTATCAATAGAACATCAATCATAGGCCAAGGCACTCTTCCTCTTGTATTCTTGAAAACTGCTCATCTTTTGTAAATTCATGTATCACAAAGTGGTGTGCTAATTTATATCAAGAAATCTATCAATTCAGGCCATCCAAGAAGATAAAGTTAGGTTATTAAGATTGTTATGAATTCTCGACACCCATAATTCGACTATTACTTGCCAAATCTGAATGGGTCCGTTCGATTCAAAGATGACATTTGGGTGGAAAGAAAACGAATTGCCTAGAACTTGTTTTATGGAGAATTGTCAATTAATTGTGTTTGATTAGTATAATTATTCACCTGAAAAATGTTAAAATTTTCTATCTTTTGGTATTCGTTTGGTTTTGTTTTTCATGAAAATTGTTAATTAAAGGGATATAATTTCTTACAATTGGAAATATAATTTGTTTGGATTGCCAAAAAAAAAAAAAAAATTGAAATTTTTTTAGTATTCGTTTGACTTTGTTTTACATGAAAATTGTCAATTAAATGAATATTTTTTTTTTACAATTTGAGATAGAATTTGTTTCTATTGTAAAAAAAAGATGGAAAACCAAAAACCACCTAAAAGGTGAGAATTGAAATTCAACTAAAACCAAAAAAAGGGGTCACAAGAAAACCAATTCTTGGAAAAAAAAAAAGTGTCATCAAACATATCAAAAGTGGAAAATGGAATTTCAATTTCATTTTTTGTGGAAAAAAAGGGCCTATCAAACAGACCCTAAATGTCAAAATCGATATCACCACTCAACAAGCAGAATTTTGCTACATGTATAAAAAAAATGTACAAATAGCATTACAAGTACACAGGTGGCAAGCACTCATTGGACCTCAGACAAAAAACAATTTTGCGGTAGCCAATGCAGTGCTGCTATCTGTGTAACTGTAAAAATCCCTGTATGGCTGTACATTTCCCCCCATACAAGGAGCAGCTTAATTGGAGCAACAAAGGATAAGAATGAGAATTTAATTGGGTTTTCTCTAATGGAAGCTTCCTTCAACAACAATTACACTATGAAAGGGCAATTACACATGATAAATATCATATTATTAAGTTTTCTTATTATTTAATCACACGTCACTTTTGTAGGCCGGCAGCTACGACATACACATCAAGCCTATGCATATGGCAGTATAATATAACAAAATCTACTCTATAAATCCAAAAGTCAACTATCCAGACAAAGAAGATATCCTTAATTTACGAAATAGTAAAATCACCTCGGTCGCGTCCTCCAATGGCGAGGAATCAAAACCTCAAGCATGCAGTGTTGCTGATGGAACATTTTCAGCATCACCACCTATGTACCACACGACAGGAATCAACACAAGAATAAACTACACCCCAACAGAAGAATAAAATACAGACAAGGAATTAGGTAGAGTTGGGAAGGGGTGGGAGGAGTTGGTTGCAGTCAAACAAGAACCCTTTATTGTGCATCAAATGCTTTGGAATTTATTGATATTTAATAAATCATGCAGTATAGTTTAAGAAAAGCTCAAGAAAATTTCATTTTACCTTTCTTAAGATGTACTAGATTCTGTAGGTACAACTATGATAAATCAGAAATTTAACGGTAGCTAGGAAATGAATGACAAACTCATCATCAGCCACGCAAGAAAGAGTGATCAAAATGAAATATATGAAGCTAAATAAAATCAGAATCTGCTCAAGAGTATATGATTATGATATCACAACATCTATCGCCGAGATGAGATAGAATATATAATACTTGTTTTTACTAATTTAGGAACTTGGTAGAAAAGTGCAGCAAAAAGTTGATGTCTAGTCAGATGCCACTATCTGAAAACCTGAGGCTTAGAAAAATCAGTTGCAAAAACAATAATGTATACAGAAAATAGAACATAAGTATGGGCAATTGTTTATATTTCATACACTATAAACAAAGCAAGAAATTAATGTCTAACCAATCAAATTCAGCAATGGGTGTGATTTCATCGCGTGTATGTAGCTGTGTGAGTATATTGAACATGAAATTTGTCTCTTTTTTCTTTTGATCAAAGGTAAGAAAGTCATTTTGAACTAAGCCACTACCAATCTACCTTCCACTCTGATAAATGCCACTGTACTCAGATGTTTTACCAATTAGGATTAAGCTACTGGACATCAGATAGTGCACACGATAGTCCACCGTGTGCAGAATATGTATCTGAACTCAATCAAGCCCCTCATCACAAGTCACCTTTTTCCACATATTCAAGTAAGAATGACTTCGGATTCATCTATTTTGTACAAGAAAATATGTTTCAACTATGGGAAGCTCAGAATTAAATTTCATGAGTAATCCTGTGAGTGTATGGTACAATTGCACCGCCACATTTTACAGCCTTCATATAAAAGTGTGTAATAACAACTGTCCCATAAACCTCCTAACCCCAAAACAGATTCGAACTGCATCAAGAAAAATTCATAACAAAGACTTAGTAAAAAAATCCAGAGCTTCAGCATGCTATCTCCTAATACATTAACCACACACGGCACTACATATGCATGAACACTTGCACAAACATATGCATAGGAGTACATTGACAGTCAAATCATAAGGTGTGTTCCATATAGAACTACTCAAAAAAGAAGAACAAATTTCTATTCCCATTGCAATAGCAAAAACAGAGAGACTAGGACCTCATATGTATTGTATGATTATTAGACAAATGTACAATGAAGGACCAACATTTCTCGTCTATGCTTCTTTGTACAAAAGTCTATCATCTGACACCATAAAACAAAAACCCAACTCACCTCTAAAAGATATTTTTTGTGACAAATTGGAAATTTATGGTAAGATACAATCATCACCAGGGAATAGTCTACCTAAAGGCCTTCATCGACTTTCTTCTTTCAACAGAAAGGCCAAGAGCTAACTATTGAGACATTGGACTATCCGGACACATTGCAGACATCTCCCACTTCAGTTAAACGCACCATAAAACATTGACAGGATCACAAAATTCTTTTGCTTCCTTGCAAAACCTGAATGAGAGTTTTTGCATTCCTTCTCACCTTCTCATTATCATCCTTCAGTAAACCAACACATATCTCAATCACCCCTAATTTTAGAGCCTCCAAACACATCTTTTCACTATAACTACACAAAGAACTCAAAGTCAATAGGGCATATTGCACACCCCTTGAACTCCCATTTCTCAAAACCTCAATCAAGATATCCAAAAACCTGTCAAATCTCATAATTTCTTCTCGGGCCAATCTGCATTTTGCCAATAGACCCAAAACTTCTACTGCCCGCTCCAGGCCTGAATTAGCATTCTGGATTAATATCGGAACGGCGTTATTCTGTACAGCCCGAACCCGGTTGTCAGGGAAAGAGCAGAGAGTGAATAAAGCCGTGGCAGCTTCTTTCCTCTCTCTTGAATTTCCTGCGCAAAGGAGAGCTAGCAAGCCAGGAATGGCATCCGGATAGGACCCAATAGTGACCTTATTGACCTCCACCACCGCCAGGCTCGTCAGAACAGTGGCCGCCACCGCCCGCGAGTCTCCATCCCCGCATCGTAAGGCGGATATCACCTTTCCGATGACGCCTTCTGCCACCAATCCCACCTTGTTGTCATCATCTAAGCTGAGGTTCAGAAGCAGGTGCAGGGCCTTCTCCTGTAGCCCTGACTCGCTCGAGTTGACACAGTCCAACACAGCCGACACAGCCCCTGACTCAGTCAGCCTCCGGCGAATCCCAGAGTCCCGCTTTGACATCCGGCTTAGCTGGTCAAGCGAATTCAGCTTGGCGTCCAAAGGAGAGAGAGAAGAAACAAGGGTTTGAATCAGATTTTGCGGGTTGGAAGGGTAAGGCTGGGGTTTAGGCAACGAAACAAGGGTATAATTGGAAATGAGGCTCCTTAAGGCGTGGTTAGGAATTAGCGTAGGCGGTTCCGGCAACGGCAGTTTACTAACTGGACAGGTTCGGTGGCCGGAGTCCAACCACCGTTGAATTGAGACCCGATCAAAGGTGTGACCCGACGAGAGTATAACCGGGTCAGACATTATCTCTAACGAAATCGGGCATTTGAAGTCATCCGGTAACTGGGTGGCCATTGTTTCTCTCTTGAATTGTGTATAGAATTGAAATGATTTACGAGGTTCAGGTGATGGTTGGGGAAGGGCTTTACTTACACCTGTGAAGATAAATATGAGGTGAATGTCATCGCTCTACATTTGCTTGTGACGACTGCTAACTAATCCACTCAAATGACATTGTTGCCCCTAGTCTAAAAAAATAAAACCTAATTCTGCCAGAGAAAATATCTCGATTTACATAGGTGAATATAGAGTATTATTTTACATAGAAAATAATAAAATAACCAAGTCGCCCGAGGAAACTTTTGCAGCCGTTGCGTTCTCTGAGTCCTACGCTCTATCGAAATTGTCTAGTTTCTTGATCCGTAAGTTTTATTGAATTTTAATTACTCTAAAGTAGGTATGATAAATAAAGTGAGAGCCACTCGTCGGCTCAGGACTAGGCCTAATCTATGGACTGCTCGACATCGTATTGAGACGAGCCATGAACAGAATCAAAATCGATTTTTTTTCACAAGTAGGCTCGTTTTGACTTATTTTACTAATTTCTAAAAAAAAATATGAACGACTTGAGCCCAACTCGTATCCACACGAGCCAAAGGGACATAATGGGTCGAGCCTTGCTTGTGGACACAAGTTGAGAACGGTTGTCAAAGACTCAGCCGGTTCGACTCGACCTATTGTCAACCTACTTTAAAATGGTGTTTCTCTCTATGAACTAATAGCATCACATAAATTTATTTTTTTTGTGCATCTTTTTCATTTGGAGTCTTGGACAACCATGTAAACCATTCTTGTAAAAAATTGATAACATTTTTAAACCGTCTTTGAATGTACAACAATATTTTTGTGTTCGTTTCCAAAATTTATCAACACCATAAGAAAATATATGAACTTCCAACTTACTAGATTGAGTTGAAAAAACAATGTCAAACAACCAGATGGACAGTTCAATGTCGAAAAGATTTCAACTATAATAAAAAATTGACATCATTTAAGACGATAACCCATCATTGAATATCAAAACACTATTTTTGTATTCATTTCAAAACTTAACGGTGTGCGATATCAAAATATAGTAAGAAAACTTCTTGTAATATCTTCATTGATATATAAATGTGGAAAGGCAAGGGCAATGTTGAGAATTTAATGGTCGTCTCGTGAATTGCCCTAAACAAAGGGGAATTTGGTGGCATCTTTTTCAAAGGGTTACTTTTGTGAAATAACTCAATTCTCTGAACTATTCCTATTTCTTTTTAATTAATGATAATGACACCAAAAGCCAGGTTTCACGGACGTGCTTAGTAAAAGCATACTTTTGGAACCATCTTCTAATTAAACACTTGATCTCCCTCCATTTTTGGTAAGTATATCAAACCTAAATTCAAATAATTTCATTCTAAATGAATTTTCATTTTTTCCTTTTTGCACTGATTCTTTCTGTTTTATGAAGCGAGACGACATTGATGGTTAAGTGAAATGACAAGAATAGGATGATACATCGGTGATGTTCAAAATTGGTGTGGAGGTACTGGTGAGCGATCGTCGAAATGTGGTTATGGATATTGAAATTCGAAACATCTCATTTAAATATTTGATGCGTTCGAAAATGAACAAGCTTATTATCCTTGTTTGATAACCATTCTTTCAAAACTCTTTTTTTTTCTTATATTTAATTTAACCAAACATTCTCACAATAAAATATTATTCAAGCTAACTCAAATTTTTTCCTACTTTTTAACCACATATTCTATAAAAAATTACTATTTAAAAACTCATTCTTCCAAAAAAATGACTATCAAACACGGGCTTATATGAACACTATTTTTGATACATCATCTTCACGAGTATAGTAAACTTATTTTTCAAGCAACTATTCATAAAAGGACTTAAATTCATAAATTTTGCTGTTATACTATGTTAAATCATTTCATTAGAAAATTAAAACTATTTCATAAGTTGGGAGGTGGGGGCGACGATGACGGTGGTGGAGGTTGGAAAAGAGGACAAGTCACAAGACGGTGGTGGGGTTTGAGTACAGAATATACATGACTTTTTGGGCAAGTAAAAAAAAAAAAAGAAGAAAAAAAATATATATATTAAAAGTGGTTATGTAACGGAATTTCTTATTTTTAACGGAAAAACTAACGGAATTTGTTGTTTTAACGGACTATGTAACGGAATTTCTTGTTTTAAACAGGCAGCTGCACCTTCTTTCAGTATTTTTATCATAACTTTGTATTCCAATCTTGCTAAATTTTAGAGAAAATATTTCTCGAAGCAATTAAGCAAAAATTTAAAGACTGATACCCACAAGAAAGATTTAATTAAGGGGGTGTTTGGGAGAGATTCTCAAATTCTACAGTAAATCAATTCTCATTTTCAACCAAACATTTCCCATCATATCACTATTCAAAATCAATTATTTCCCCAAAAAATTTCTACCAATCAAGCGCTTAAATATAAATTAGGCAAACGTGCATTGCATCTAGTGTATAGTCCACGGTTTCACACGAATACTTACTAGAAAATCCTTCCAAGGATTCAAAAGTCCAAATTTGTGTGCTATTACTTTCTTTCGAGGCTTTGATTACGTTTTCATTTTCACTAATATTTATAAATCCATAAGTCAATTATTTGTAATGATAAATTGCTTCCATATAATAGCAATATTACATAATTTATACTTCTGTTTAGTGAAGATTAAAATCAAATTTTTAGTAAATTTAATAAAAAAATAATTAAATATATAGTTGAAAAATTATGAATTTTATAAAATATACAATTAAAATTAATTATTGTCTTTAACTTATATTAAAATTTAATTTTTAATACCTATAAAATAGGGGCGTAACCTACCCCTTTTAAATTAAATTAAACTGGTAAAATAATTGCAAAATTTGAGAACCAAGTAATATTTTGAACTGTGTTACATACACGTATTTAGCACTTTTATAACTAACATCACAGGATTCATTTACACGTATTTTTCAATGTCTCTTTCCTCGGCCGTAGCACTCAAAGTTCTATTTTTTATTGTTTTCACACATGAAAAATGAAAGAATTGACGTGGAATTGAAATTTTGGCATTCATTGAAATGTTACTAGGTCAGAATTTTTTTGGCGGTCATTATCGAACTATTAATGTATAATTATCTGTCAAAGTTTAAGAATCAGTTAATTTATTTTATCATCAATTATCTAAGGATTTGTGGGAAAATAGGAAAGGATGTAAAATGTTTTGGATTTATTTTTTGGCAACTTTGTTGACAGATTATATGTTGGCAAAAATCTCTTGGCCGTAAAAATAGCTTTTCTTTTTTCTATATACTCATTTTTAAGTGTACTGCACGTAAACATAAAACTTTTTTCTACTTTCTTATGACACATTCTCCAAAAATTCATTATTTAAAACTTTATTTTTGCCAAATAATGGCCATCAAACAAGGGATTAAACTATCCAATGACAACATTCTGTCAAATAAGTTGTAAATGCTTTAGTTTAATTTTTAACGTATTTTCAAATCAAACTTTTTAGGATCATGTAACATATACATCAAGATTTAAATAATATCACATGTTACTTTGCCATTTACCAGTTTAAAACATAATCAACTTTTCCATCAAACAATTTCCATCCACATTATTTTCGTTAATCATTTATGTACATTTTTTTATGTACAAGTAGAAAATTCAACTTTTTATGTATGTGGGATACATTCCAAAAAGTAACCTTTATCAAAGACAGATCCATTCCCCAAATCCCAATTATACCATTTTTTCCAATTGACAAAACTTTCTCTTTTCAAAGAATCAAGACGAGCCATACTTATTGATGTGTACAATTTTTGTATGACCAGATTACCCACGATCTTATGCTCAAGGTTATGATAATCTCGAGCACTCTCCAATGGCCTAAACATCCTCAAATTTATGTGGTCGAGCTTAAGGTCACGATGATATTGAGTTTTCTCCCTAGACTAGAACATCCTCGAGCTTGAAGCCCTTGGACACAAGGGCGGACCCTTAATTTTTAACATTGGAAAAAGCCCATTTTCACCCAAGCCCAAAAAAAATCTTTTAACAAAAAAATGGCCCATTCCTCACCCTCTCCCCCCAATTGAAAAAAACCAATTTTTTTGTGATGTGATGGTGAATATGTGGTTGAAAAAGAAGGAAAAATTATTGACGTGATGAAAAATATTACTTTATTGAAGAATTTGTGGTTGAAAATGAGTAAAAGATTGAAAATGAGAATGTGGCTCGAACATGAGCTTATTATGGAGCATGAGCTTGTTTAAGATTTAGAATTGTTTGAATGAAATAGGTGGGCACTTACTAAGCTCATGTTTGAGTCCTATTTTTTTCGAAACTCATGTTCAATCACACATTCTTTTTTAAAATAATTTTACACGTAAACCCAATTTTTTTTTCTTATTTTTCAATTACACATTCTTAAAAAAAAATCAATATTTGAAAATATATTTCCCTTGAAAATGGGGCTCAAATAGGGGCTAAGTTTGGTATTTGCTTCATTTTCATTTCCTCCAAATATTCTCGCAGTGCCAAAGTCTTAGATTTTGGGGTTAAAATCATCCAAAAGAACGTTGCTTGTGTTAAGATCTTTATGAATAATTTAGAGCTTTTCCCTCTTTTCCACTCGACTCTTTAGTATTAAAAATGTTGATTTTAAGAATGGGTGATTATCCTTCTTCGACTTTTACTATCCAACCCGAGAATAAATAGTTAATGAGTATCACTTATTGAACATAGTTCTATGGTTGGTCCGTGACCCCAAGATGCCAATGGTGCCCTTGGGGTGATCTCATAGTTCCTACGAGCTGGAGATGATGGGATTGGTCCTTGAATTTTCCTTCTTTTTCTTTTGCAGTATTTTGCTCATAGGGTTGAAGGGAGATAGTACATCATATTCCTTGAGCAATTCTGATGATTATTTCTTTGCACTTTTTCCAATCCAAAAAGGACTTCTTTCTTTCATCTGAAAATGTTTGCATGTA